AGAATAGTATTAATAGTACATTTAAAATTATCTGACATTAAATAGTAAGATCTTTAATGCGTATTTATTTTAAATGAACAAAAATATAAAAAATAGCTTAATGATAACGTTAAAAAGTATTTTTAGTAATATAAAATCTAAGACTGATTTTATTAAACATAAATACATAGTAAATTTATATAAATAAACAAAGTTACATAAGATTATTAAAGAGGTTATGAACTAGGAATTACGATATACATCATATTACCGCCAAAAATAACTTACAGCAAGTACGCGACTGATGCGTAAAGGTAAAAACATGATTACAGATTATTGTATATTTGTAATTAACTGCAGCTGTTTATTCTGTCACTTTCTTAGTTTTTGCGAAATAAATATTTAAATCACAACTTAGAGTAAATTGCATTTCTCCGCCATCTGCTGTCAGAGTTTAAAAACAGAAATTGCCAATTACAAATTAGCGCTAATTTTAAATAATTATATGCAAGATATTACAAATCTCAATCGTCAAATTTTGCCAAAATGTTTGGTAGATCATTTTGAACAAAAAATATTACATATACTATATCGTCAATAGGTTTTCGTTTTCGAGATATGAAAGAAAATGTAGTATAAATCATAAGTATAAGTCTTGCATACATGTAAAAGATAAGTTGTTACAAGATCGAGAGTATATAAAATGATTCAAATAAAATTATAAAGATTATATACTTACTACAACCTTAAGTGATTGTTAGTTAAATTGTGTTTTTATTTCTAAGTGATGCTATTCAATTTAATCAATAAATCAAAAGTGAAAGTTTGAAATTAAAGAAGTGATATTAAAGTTTTGACTGGTATATAAAATGTAAGAGTTATGTAATTGGAATAAAATTATATCTCGAGTTGAAGACACAGGAAAGAATTGTATAATAAAAAGAAAATGATATAGGAATGTTTTTCTTTTTCATAAATATTAATATGCTTATGAAAAATTTAAATAAAATTGCATATTATTTTCTACCATATAAAAGAATATTAAAATACAATTAATAGGTATGTGAAATATTTCATATCAATCTTTCTATAGGTTAATATTAAATGAGAAGTATATAACAAATTTAAAAATGCAGCCATCTTTGAACATATATCTTTTGATATATTTATTTAATATATTGTATTATGTTATCGTTCACTTTGAGCATTCTTTAAATATGTTTAAATGTTTAGAATATTATTATTATATTTGGGAGTTTGTAGAATCATTTTTTTTAAATATAAAAATATTTGTGTTTAAAACTTTTACAGTTGAAACAAAAAGTGTTAAAGGCTGAAAAACATTTTCTTTTTCTAAGATTAATTTTCTCAAAACAAGAAACAGTTTTCATGTATATATACACTTTTGAATGTTGAAATGTAAAAAGAAGTGAAAAGAACGTTAAAATTCATTGGACAATTTTAATGTTATTAGAACTTTAGTTATCCTGCTTTGTTTCCCAATCAATTATCAGATATTAACTTTAATTAGTAAATTAATTATACACATTTTACTTTGTTTGATTTTCAGAATTAATAAAATTATATTAATGGAAATCAAATTGCAGCAGAATAAAAAATCTCTGTTTACAGGTTTATTTGTATAAAGGAATTTATTTGTATAAATAGGAAAGTAGAAAGTAGAAATAAATTAATATGACAGATCTATATATCTTTCTTATGCATTGTATTTATTATTCATACAACTAATCACATGTATTACACCACAATACACAACGATACACTTAATAATTTAATCGAATCTAAATCGTAATCGTGGTACAACAGTAATCGATTAATAATGTAGAGGTATAAATAGCACACTTATTGTGATATCGCATATATCCTACGATATACAACTGGTCAAGAATTTCGTAAATTCTTGGACCTATAATAATCGGTACTCTTCCACCTACGATGCTGTTGTTTCCACCTTCACGCGATTTTTAATTAAACGGTACAGTTTCTGCTTTCAGCACAAAGGGAATTGAACAACGCAACTAAGATCCTTATTTCTATATTGTAGCTACTTCGTGTACTTTGTGTAGGTATATGACACCGAATGATCGTTAATTTCTTGCAGTCTGTTTTATGAATATATATATGGATATGAATGGTTCGTTTAATATTGTTTTTTGATTACTAACAACGAGAATAAATTTTTATCTATTAATGTCGCATTTTTATGAAAGAAATTGAAACAAACAGAATTATTTCTTGCCGTGAATTTTAATTGCGGGCAGCTTTTAGAATGCAAAAAATCAAGGTGTTACAGGTGTTATTCCAATTCCTAAGTCATTTATAAAAGGATTGGAAGATGTATACAAATTATTTCGAAATAGACAGAACGGAATTAAATACGTATTTTCGTAATATTACAAAATTCGATCGGTTACGATATCCGTTAACGACTTTATCGAAATAACAAACCACATCGATCGATCGATTTTTTTTTCCTCGCACATTACATTATGTCTGTACGTGTATCGTTTGTTTTTTTCTAACACTCAAATATATGTACTAATTTTGCGAATAGCTGATATATTCTTTACTTATACTAAAGCTATTTTACGTTAGTACATTTTATACACGTAATTATAGCATAGGCGACGGAAACAGTGAATCTTCGAAATAATGTCTCAAAAACAACGAGATTATAATAATTAAAGCATGATTCTTTTATAAAAATTTTCTTGCGATCAATGTCGAACAATAGTCGTTCAATCGAGTATCGTTAGTCGTGTTCATTGTCCTTATTCACGTGGTTCCTTTTTAGGTGGTTTTGAAAATTATGAACTTAGAAGAATGATCCAATTGAATACTTTGATAACTTTTTTCCAGAAAATGACAAAAGGATTTTTGTCAAGTCCTATTGCAATAAGAACGATATGGAAAACAAATGAAAAAAACTTTTCTTTATTTGTGAAACTTTCTATCGTAATAAAAATATATTTTAGCGATTAAGTAATTAAAAATAATAATTAGAAACGAATTCTTCTACGTGTGAAGACTCCTAAAAGGACCACGTAAATTAAGATTTGAAAAATATAATTTTTGGTCGGTGTTTTTTTGTTATAATTCTGCTATTATGATCACATGAACACATGCAGCATTCGATACTAATATCGTAAGTACATAAATATAATCGTATTGCTATATAGAATGTTTTGTTATTTTCCATTCAAGAAGGATATTATTCTACAAATCAGGATTATTTCTAACCAATTTCTTCAACAGAAATTTCATTAAAAATTATACTATAAATTCTTTGTTTCGATTTTTACTATATAATTAATAATTAATACTTAATAATTAATAAAGAATTTTTTAAACTTGAAAATTGCTTCGCTTTTTTACGTTTCTTGTGTACTTCTTATGTACTTGGTTTGAAAATGGCAAACTATACTCTTTATGAAACGGAGTTTTTATTACCGTGAAATTTATTATTAGATCACTTGAAAATTTAGTTTTTTTTT